ACAACCATTTATCTGAAATGGCATAGGGTCTCCTGTTTGAGTAGGGGGTTGGACTAGATGACCTCCAAGGTCCCTTCCAACTGCTATTCTATTCTATTCTGTTCTTGTTCATGATTCTATTCTATTCTATTCTATTCTATTCTTCATTTCTCTACTTTACTCTATTCCATTCCATATTTTCTATTCTATTCTATTCTATTCTATCCCATCCCATCCCATTCTATTCTATTCTATTCTATTCTATTCTATTCTATTCTATTCTATTCTATTCTATTCTATTCTATCCCATTCCATCTATTCTATTCTATTCTATTCTATTCTCCCATTCCATCTATTCTATTCTATTCTATTCTATTCTATTATCCCATTCCATCTATCCCATTCCATCTATCCCATTCCATCTGTTCTGTTCTGTTCTGTTCTATCCCATTCCATCTATTCCATCCCATCCCATCCCATCTCATCCCTGTTGGGTAATTATAATTATGAAATGCACCTCGACTGAATTATTAAATAAACCTATTTTAAGACAATACAAAAATCCAGTCAGTATCTAACATATCCTTCAAATGGTTACTGATAGTTCCTTGATGAACCTGTGATTGCCCTATCTCTGTCATTTTCCCACTAGTGTAGCTCTTTACAAAGAGATAACTATAAATTCGGTTAATCCAAAATCTCATTCTTGCAGACAGCAGTGAGAGAAGACCCCAGCAACATGGAGTTTGTAATGATGAAGACTGATGAGCAATCAGGAGGAAACGAGACCACGGTAAGTTATTAATGACCATGCTGGAACTATATTACACCAGTCTTGCTTTATCTGCTGAAATGAAAAGCCGCTGAAAAAAGAAACGGGGAAAAAAGTTAACGCTGAAAAATCCATTTGAAATTATGTTTGAAATTAGCAGAACCAATCTTTGTTGCCCTGGCAGCTTGTTTCTAGTGAGTTTATCCTGCAAAGCTTTGCTTGTGAAGTATATTCAATATTCTGCCACTAAACTATAGGATTTTTTTCCTAGTTGTATGACTGAGATATATTTTTTAAAAAGAAATTGCAATCGTTCTCTCTTTCCATTTGACTTTTGCCCCTGATGTCTTGTTCAGATTTCATAAGTGGCATGGCAGTATCTTTATACAAGAGATTTTGGACTGGGCAAAAAAAAAATTAACTCTTGGTATTTGTCAGTCTTTCAAACTTGCTCCTGTTGTCATTCAGTTTGGCTTTAACATTAATAAAGTTTAATGGTTTATTTTTTAAAAAAAAAACACCACCTCTTTATATTCATCTTCTACTTTCTTTATTGAGAAAGTTAGTTAGAACCGAAGAAGCTTCTTGGATGAGAAGTGAAATGTCTTTAAGAAAAATCAAGGAAGTCAGATTGCCTTTTGGAAAGCACCTTTGGGACAAGAGAAAACGTGGCTATCTGTATGGGAAATATTCTTGTTTTCATTCAGAATCTCTCTTTTTTTTTTTTGGTCAGGTGTGCATTGTAGTTGGACAAAAAACATTATATTTTTATAACTTCCAAGACCCGGAAAAGCCAATTGAACTAGCATTTCAAAAATGCTATGGGAAGATAATATCTTACAAATTGTAAGTACCCCCCCTAAAGTATTAATGTTTCTCTGGAGTGATCGCATTAGTCAGTTGCAACAACCACAAACAACGAAGAGCACTGTGTAGCAATTTAAAACAAATATATTTCGTTTTGTTTTTGTGAGCTGAAAACCCAATCTGTCAACCTATGGAAGTTTAATTCTTAATGTTAAAGTGAGTTTGGTGTTTGGAATGTTTTATTCAGTTGGTTTTGGGAGGGTTACTTTTTTTAACAAAAGAGATTTGAATATTTTACAAACTAAAATGTAATATCCCTGACAAGAGATTTCTAACTGAGCCTCTCTCAGTACCTTGTCTTCTGGTGTAACTTAAGTTAATTTTTGAATAATTCTTCTGTTTCTCTGACCGTGTTCAATTCTTTAGCCATTTCACAGTTTAAGGTGATCTCCACATTATTTCTCTCAGGAGATAAATGATGCCTGAGAGTTTTTTGCTTCAATTTATTGTCTTTGCAGGTACGGTGAAAATTATATCATGATTGGCTTTTCGCTGGGCTACTTCGTGGTGATTTCAACGCAGGTTCAAGAGATTGGTCATGAGATCTTCCAAGCTTCGGATCATAAAGATTACTTGACCAGCGTTGCAATATCTGAATCACTAAACAAAGCTGCATCATGTGGAGATAACTGGTGAGGCATAATATGTCCATGTAAGATCATTTAAATAATGCGAGTACTATTTTTTTAAGTTTATGAGAAGACTTGCCCTTAAGGCGTCAGAATTTTACATTTGCAGAAATAGAAGAAGCCAACGCATAAACCATTGATAAATTGTTTTTTACGAATGGAAAAGGTTCCTGAGAGCCAAATAATTGATAATTGCTAGCCTGAACAAAGCAAATATCCAAAAGAAAGGCTGCCTGCATGACTCTATATTTTTTTCACAATTTAAAGGTTTAGCTGTGAAGAGTTTATTTTTTTTATTCCATCTTACCGGTTCAATTTTGAAAGCAGCTGTCAAGAAACTCTGTGTTTGCCTAACTGATGTTATGTGATTTATTGTTAAACTGAGAATACTGAAGGAATTGGTTTTCTTTTTTATTGTAGCGTCAAGATTCACAACCTGTCAGATCTGACGGAGATATGTGCAATCATAAACTTGGAGGATGAAAATAAAGGTTTGACAGCTTCCTGGTTTGATAGCTTGCCCAATTAATGGTTGGTGTTTGATTAAGCAAGACTTGATTTTTTCAGTGCCTACTCAATGCTGAGCTTTCCTGACAAGAGTCTTTGGAGGTCTGAAAAGGAGTAGCATCCAATGTGACATCACGTCTTTCATACTTCCATTTGGTTCAGTTTTCAGTTAATAACAAATCTTAGAGGGCCCTTACGCTGTAATAAAGCAAAAAAAAAAGATAGTTTGCTGAAGCTATAGCATCCCCAGGTCAGGATCTTTAGGAAGTTTCAGATTTTAATTTCTTCCCCCCTGTATGTGAAGAGAAGAGGGAAACACACACGCCAAAATACTGGTGCATGTTGTCCCAAATTTAGAGAATTATTAGATCTGCAGAGCTGAGGAATTCCAGGCTCCTCCTTAGCTTTGCACTGTAATTAAGATCTTAAAAAGAAGATCTGTTTCTGTGGAATAAGTAAGAAACCATAATCAACCACATATCTTGGGCCCAAATTACCTGCAGGACCTCCTATTTCTGCTCAGCCCTTCCTGCAGGTTTCCCATTTTTTTGCAAATCCCACCAAGTTAGGATTTTTCTAAGGATGGGATCCTTAGTATCAAATAAATGGCTGTTGAGGTTGAGATAAGTTCCGTCCTCATGATTGTTTGGCAAAGGGATTAAACCTACCTTTCTAGCATGTCCTTTTAGAGCTTCTGAGATTTTTCACGTCTGGGTTTTTTAGTTAGTTTGATTGATGTGTTTTTGTAACGTCCCCAGAGCTGTTGGAGATATGTGCTTCTGAGTAAGTAAATCAAGCGCACAGATGGTAAAAGTTATTCCTTAAGAATCGTTTCTAACTTGCCAGCCCCTGGATGAGTTGGAATTATAACATCCAGAATTTCTAATTCACGTGCTGTGGCAGAGATATAGAGCTTTGCAAAATGTACTTTTGCGTAAGACCTTTATTATTATTATTATTATTATTGATCATCACACAGTCAGCCAGATGTTCAGACCAGATTTGACATTTTTGTCTACGTATCGACTCCTTACCAAGGACCTGGGATAGGCAGATGTGGATGTTTGATGCGACAGATATCATCGCAGGATGAAAGCAGTTCCTAGTGGGGCCGCCTTTTGCAATTGACTAATGGTGAATTTGTCAATGCCAATGGTGTTCAAGTGGTGCTCCAGTTGTTTTGGGATTGCACCCAAGGCGCCTATTACTATTGGTACTACCCTTGCTTGCTTTTGCCACAATTTTTCTATTTCTATTTGTAGGTCTTTGTATTTTGTTATCTTCTCCAGTTCTTTCTCGTCTATTCTACAGTCTCCAGGCACTGCCACGTCCACTATCCAGACTACTACTACTACTACTACTACTACTACTACTACTACTACTACTACTACTACTACTACTTCTTCTTCTTCTTCTTCTTCTTCTTCTTCTTCTTCTTCTTCTTCTTCTTCTTCTTCTTCTTCTTCTTCTTCTTCTTCTTCTTCTTCTTCTCCTTCTCCTTCTCCTTCTCCTTCTCCTCCTCCTTCTCCTCCTCCTCCTCCTCCTCCTCCTCCTCCTCGTTATTATTTTTGCTTTCCAAGACAACTTTTCAATGCAATCTCATTAATATTTTAGGTCTAGATCAGCTGTCGTGGACAGACGATGGACAATTGTTGGCGGTGTCTACCAAGCGAGGATTTATCCACGTCTTCTTAACAAACCTTCCCATCCTTGGAGCCTCGTACGGCACCCGGATCGCCTATCTCACCTCCCTCCTTGAGGTCACAGTGGCCAACTACATTGAAAGTGTATGACGCTTTAGTCACTTATACAATTTGCACAGGGATAAAGGTTTTGATTTAGCCCCTCAGTCTTCGGTACAAGCCATGTGTGGTCTGTCTTGGCAGGAGCCACCGATAAGAGTTTCTGTTGAAGTGGAGCCCAATTTTATCGCCGTGGGGCCCTATCACTTGGCCGTGGGCATGAATAATCGAGCGTGGTTTTATGTCCTCGGAGAGAGCAGTAAGTATGTCTCTGCTTCCATTATTTCTCAAGAGGCTTTCAGTGCTCAGCTGATAAAATGTCGTCTTCATGGTTTTATGCTATGCTGTTTTGTACCTGGGGGCGTTATGGCCCAGTGTTTAAAGATGCTGTGTCATGGTTCTGACAGATGAAACTCTTCAAAGAACTTTGAGGCATTGTTTACCTTAAAGAATCTTTATTCGAGAAGCATAACATCGGCACTAACATAATCGAAGCCAAAAACTGAATTCCCCTCCCCTGAGCATATAGTATCAAAGCACAATTCCCTCCTCCAATTAACAGTCATAAATCACATTCCCCAATTAGCTTGAATCGCGAGCTTCCTCTCCAGTTCTCCAGCCTGCCAAGTCCTTATCAGCTCTGGTTACAATAACCTTAATTCTCACGCTAAGTTTAATGTTGTTATGTCTAGCTGGGCTCTCGTTCACATCCCCCCTCCCAGCATCATCTAACTAAAAGTGAAAGGTAAAAGATGGCTATATCTCCATTTGTTGTCAAGGCAGAAACATCCAGTGTTAGCAGCATTGACACGCTGAGCTTGTTAGCGGAGAGCTGACA